TTTCGCCATTTTTATACTAAAAACTTATCGATAACGCATTCAATTCAGCACTGTATTCAGGAAAAGGTATTAAATGAAGCCAACTTTCGGTCAAAGTTCGAGTTTTGTTGTGTCTATTTTTATATGACAAAATCGACTTTGGTTGCTGGTTTTGCGCTCAAAATCGATTCCAGCCAGCAAAGTTCGTAATCTAAACGTAGTATAAGGTTCACGGATTTTTACAATATAACAAAATATTAAATTCTGTATTATTATTAATTCAAATATATTATATATTGATTATATTTTATTTAAACTTCTTTTACATATACCATTTTGTAAATTTTTAAATAGCTTTAAAGCCATAAAATATTTTATCTTTGAGAGAAAGATTTTAAAAATATAATTATAACATATAATAATTTAGCACTAAATGAAGTTTTTTGATAATATTATTTAATATGGGCGTGTACGAGTTTTTCTAATTTCAAGCAAAACTAAGTGGGATTTTCCTTGGGATTTTTTGTATTGCACACATTTAGCACCAAAGTTCAAAAAGTGTGCGAGTTGTATTCTGATAACCAATATATATTTCAATAGAGGCATTCACTCTCTCTTAGTAAAAGCACAAAATGCAAGAGCGCTATACAAAAACTGTAAGAGTGCGAGGACACCTCTGTTGTAGAATTGCATCATCAAAATGAATCCGCTGTTTTTGCAGCCGTTTTACATTGAGGAAAGAAAAATAAAAGTATAACAGTGCCGCAAACACAAAAATGTATAGATATTTTAATTGAAAATAGTGCTTTTCATATTCTCACTAAAGGTATTAACATTCCTCCTGTAGAAATTCTATTATTTGGAGCACTTCCCGTTCCGTCCACTTCTTGTGCGGCTGCAACGTTTTCTTTTTAGTCGTTGGTGCTCCGTCTTCCATTTTTATCTAAAAATAATTAGAAAATTTTAAATAACCAAAATTTGTACAATCTTTTAACGTACATACTTACCTTTCGCTATCAAACTCAAATTTAAAAATGAAAAGCAACAAATGTCAAAACAGTTGTTTTCTGCCATTTTTGTTTTGTTGCAAGCAATTATATATAGGTTTTAATATAGGAAGATTGCAAGTAACTGCACGAAACTTTGTGGAACATTTTGTTGTTGTTAATTGCATGCTCTTACAATCTATGTATTTCGTGCACCTTGCAATGAGTTTGCAAGAGAGATTGAAAACCCCTAATGTATTTTCAAAGTTATGCAAACGTCATAAATTAACAAAACAATATTGTAAACAATATGAAAAAATCCACTTAATTAAAAAAGCCACTATAATAAGATTTTATCAAATAAATGTTTATAATATTATATATAAGTAATAGAAATTTTAAAAAATATAAGTAATATAAGTAATATTTACACAATTTATTGCAAATGCTCTTTAAATAATGACAAGTACAAGGAGAAATTTTTCGGGTAAAAGTTTCCAAATAACGATTATTAATTTTTGTAATATAAATAAAACCAAAAGTTTTAACAAAATTATTTTTTATTGTCATTTTCTATATTTGAAAATGACAATAAAATGACATGCTGCACAATACAACGTGCAGCATGGAGTTGCACCCCATCCATTCAACGACATAATCACGCTATCAACTTTCCTAATGAAATCGTATCAACTCTTCGGACGAAACGTTTTCTGCGTCGTAAATGGCAGCAATCACGATCTCCAACAGATAAAGCGGCACTAAACCGTATAACACAAAAGCTACGACGGAGAATTAAGCTTTTCAAAAATAGCTCGTTTAATAATTACCTTTCTCAGCTTTCAGATAAAAAAACGTCAGATTACTCTCTTTGGAAATGTACAAATAAATTAAAAAGACCCATCAGCCACATCCCAGCTGTACGAGCTAACAACAGTAAATGGGCCCGAAGTGACTTAGACAAGGCAAACGTTTTTGCTGAATATCTTGAGGAATCATTTACGCCTAACTGCGGTCAAGATGACGAAACTTATGACGAAACAGACAATCGTTTGATTTTAGAACCTGAGGTTCAGATCCGTCCTGTTACTCCAATAGAGCTAGAACAGGAAATTCAAAAGCTGAAAAATAAAAAATCGCCAGGTTTTGACCTCATCACCGCCGAGGTGTTAAAAAAGGTTCCTAATAACATAGTTCTAAGGCTTACTAATTTATTCAATTCGTGCATTCTATTAAAGTACATTCCGAGTCTTTGGAAAGTAGCCGATGTTATAATGATTCTCAAACCCGGGAAGCCAGCGCCTGAGGTCTCATCGTATAGAGCAATTTCGCTTCTACCAGTATTATCAAAACTGCTCGAAAAAATTATTGTTAAACGTCTTAACAAACTTATTGAGGACAGAAAATTGATCCCAGACCATCAATTCGGATTTAGAAATAAACATTCTACAATCGATCAAATTCACCGAATTACCAATGTAATTGAACAAGCCTTGGAAGGAAATAAAGTTTGCTCTGCTGTTTTTCTTGATGTAGCCAAAGCATTTGACAAAGTATGGCACAATGGTCTTATGTTAAAGCTGCGAAGCACGCTCCCTAAACAATATTGCGATCTCTTGGAATCCTATTTGACTGACAGATTCTTCCGAATCAAACAAAATGACATTACATCTGAGCTGAAAACAATCAAAGCTGGGGTGCCGCAAGGTAGTATTCTTGGCCCAACTCTCTATTTAATATTCATAGCCGATCTCCCTTCTGCGCTGGATGTTTGTACTGCTACCTTTGCAGATGACACAGCTCTTCTGAGTATTGGCTCAGACGTTGATGATTCAACTAACACACTTCAGGCTACGATTTCTGAAGTCAGTAAATGGTGTAAGAAATGGCGAATAAAACTTAATAGTACTAAATCTGTTCACATTAACTTCACAAATCGGAAAATTCAAAATAAGCCTGTTTATTTGAATGGTTGTGTAATCCCATGCAAAAATACTGCTAAATATCTTGGCATGACACTAGATGTGAAATTGCGTTGGAAAGAACATGTCAAAATAAAAAGAGAAGAGCTTGATATTAAATGGAAGAAACTGTATTGGCTTATGGGAAAGAAATCTCAACTCTCACTAGAAAATAAACTTTTATTATATAAACAGATCCTTAGACCCGTTTGGAGTTATGGCATACAGATTTGGGGCTGCACAAATAAAACTAACCGTATGGTTATTCAACGTTTTCAAAATAAGGTATTGAGGTGTATTGTTAAAGCGCCTTGGTATATACGTAACTCTGATCTGCATCGGGACCTCGACATTGAATATGTAGCGGACGTCATCACTAAGTTTGCAAATTCTCATGCCTACAGACTTAGGCATCACGTAAATGCAGAGGCTATGTGTCTCTCTTATCCTATGCAATCAGATAGAAGATTAAAAAGAACTCTACCCAACGATCTAGTTGGTAATTAGCTTAAGCATCTTTACTTTAAATTCAATTTTATATTTGATAAACTAAAATTGCTTGTTAGTTTCATTGTAATAAACTAGTTGCAGTATTATATTAAAATAAAAAAAAAAAAAAAAAAAAAAAATTTTCTATATTTTGATTTAATTGAATCCACTTCTTTATTTATTAAACATCTTATGAAAATATTAAATGGCAACTCTGGCTATTTTTCTATCGACTAACTGAGTGGATTTCTTTTCATTGGCCCAATTTACACTATTATGAACGTAACATGAACATGAACTTGAAAAGCGGTTTCGGATAGATGAGAGAGGTAAGAGACTGTGATGTTAGTTTATGAATTTCAAGTAATGAAATTTACTGTTTTTTTTCAACTTGACATGCTTACATGTACAATGTTATATTTTGGTGTTTGTGAATACTTTGAATTTTTGTAATGTGCACTATAGCACACAAGCAGTTTATACTTTTACACAAAATAAAACAAATTTCACACTTCATGACAGTTCATGATAGTGTAAACTGCACTGTCAGTTTATGTTGTCGTCAAGTTCATCTCACATTCATGATAGTGTAAATAGGCCCATTGTCTTTCTAATATTGTTTTGGTAATTTTTGACGTTTGCATAATTTTGAAAACACATTGAAGGCCGTGTGCTAGTTTGAAGAAATTGAGGAAAATAGTAAATTATGTCGGTATGGCAGCAAAAGTTGGTATTTACCAAAATTTTTTATAGGCAAATAATATAAAAATTACGTAAATTATGGTAGTTATTACCATTGCGAAAATTTTATAAGATGTTTAATATATAAATAAATAAATTTGAATATTTTTAACCAAATAAAAAATATAAATTATGCAAATTAGATCAACTCGCATACGGCCTATATGCATGGTTTTGCTTCTTTTACTAAAAAAATTTCCCTAAAATGTATTTGAAAGAAACTTCACAGAAAAGAAATTCCATTGTTTGTCACTTTTTGTTATATAAAAGTATAAAAAATATTTTTGTAATTTTCAGTGTGTATATTGTATTAAAATCTTTTCTAAGTGTTAATTTTTTCGAATAAGAATATATTTACAGCAGTAAATAAATAAGAATAAATATGACATATAATATAAACACATGAAATGAAATGTTAACAATTTTATCGTGAATACCCAGTTGCTTGATTTGTTTTCGTGGTTGTGTGTTGTTGCGAAGAATTAAATAATACATCGAATATTTTTAAAGGATCTACTATTTCAAAGGTGACTAAAGGTAAACTAAAGGTTTGTGAAATATTACTTAATTTTTACGCATAATTTGTTGTTGATGACATCTTTATTTTTTCAATTAATTTATTACTATATATAATAATTATATCATATACAATCATAATTCGTATTTACTACACACACTTATTGTGCAATGTTCAATAATAAATAATACACTTTTTATTGTCAATATGGCACACATGATGGCAACCCAAAATAGTAGTAATTTGACATAGAACACATTTGTCGTTGCGTATTTGAAGTGAGTGCTTGTAAGAAAGTTCTGAAAGATTTGGCGGTATGTTGCGAAATTGAGATATTGGTTAAAAAGAAGCGATAAAAATGTATTAGAACTTTTGCTCTTGTGTTTGTTGAAATTCATTAAAATAATTCCACAATAATTGTTTTTATGCAATTTTAGAATGCAATGAATAATAAAATATAATAACTTAAAGTGAAGAAGACCTCATGAAAAGCCAAATCATTTTGACAGCCGCTTTAACGGAACTTTCTGTGGCGAATGGCAAGACGCTTTATTATAATTATTGTGTCATAGAAATAAGTCAGTTCACAAACTTTGTAGTGGCTTAAAAATTGTTTTTATGCAATTTGGAATGTGATGAAGAATAAAATAAAATGAACTGAACTAAAGACGACATGAAGAGCAGAATCATTTTAACAGTTGCTGTAACGGGACTTTCTTTTTTTGTGGGTTAGGACAAGACGCTGTTTGTTTGTTGCGCCATAGAAATAAGAATTAAGTTAGTCAACAAGCAATATTTTAGCGTCTTGAAAATCTGAACAACTTGAAGCTCAGAAACGGACAAAAGGAATAATGAAAGTGTATTTAAAAGGTAAGTTAGAGTCTTTAAATTTAATTTGTGTTATCAAAGACTTGTGTCAATCTAAATAAAAACCTTATTTTATATCCTTTTATTCAGATTCAGAGGAAGCTTTAATAACAGAAATAATACTAAGAAAAAGTATTTGAAACTGTTCAGATTTAAATTTAAATTACCATTTTTATGTTAATTGATATATTTAACAGAATGTTTGTACTTCTATTAGAATTTAAAAAATATTGAGGATTGGTGCTCCACAAGGAAAGCATTTTTATTATCACCCATAGTGAAATACACATTTGGCACTCACATTTAAGGAATAATGACAGATAAAGAGAAAAAAAACAAAATGGTCTCGCTTCAGGCAAAGATTTTGGGGTTTCAATTAAGCTAAATTTTCAATTTTTTTTTTTGATCCCACATTCAGGGATATTCACCATTTCGGCACTGAAGATAGAAATGTAAGTAAATTTAAATATACTCATTTTTTTCTTATAAGTAAAAATATCGTTGTTGAAGGCACTTGTACAATCACGTACTAAACAAAATACGTTATAAAATCGGTTTTGCGCTATTTTTAGTATATAATTTGTTCTTATTTAAAGTAATCAATGGACCATCACCGGATAAGCAATGAAGATTTAATATATAATAATATACAATCTGCAATAAGCCCCAATACTGTCCAGTGTATTTGTATTATGTTTTTTTAAGTTATTTAAATAAATACAACCCAAATTTAAAATAAAAAAATTTATTAATTATTATTTTTTTTTTAGATGTATATAGAGAGAAGTGATCATATATTTGGTCCTATGAACTAAAAATAAGTATACCAAATTCGTATAAAACTTTCCTCTAAAATGTATGCTGATTTTTAATACCAGCGGTGTATTAGTTACGTCAAAGTCATTAAATGGAAGTCTAGGAAGTAATATGATTTAATTGAGATGTCTTATAACACAATAATCCTAATGAAAATTTATAATATTGGCACGTAAATCATCGATAAATAACCAAGTCTTAATAATGACCCAACTTTTGCTGATGATGATTGCGATTGTGCCCTTTAAAATGATGCGTCACAAATTGATGGAACTTATACTGCGGCTTGTACGTATTTTATTCATTTTTGCTATTTGCCGGATAACATAATCCAAGATGCTGTATATTGTTATCGTTATTGATGCATAGTTAAAAAATAAATAATGAATTTACGACTAAAAAGCTGTAAGTGAAATATGATATTTTTAATTTTTTTCTTTTTAATAAATACTTAAATTTAAAATATTGCATTATTTTTTGTTTATAGAATTTTTCATAACTTTTCCTGCGAATTTCCATCTAAATGATGTCGACAACTATTGTCAAGTAAGAGATAACTTCCAATTGATATATTCGTTTATTGAAACAATAATTAAACTTAACTCAATTTAATAAAACAACATTATCTTCAAGAAAATGAAAACGCAAACAAATCATCAAAAGCTAAGCTTTTCGTTTATTAAAACAATAACTAAACTCAACTTTATTTAATGAAACAACATTATCTTCAAGAAAATAAAAACGCTAGCAAATCATCAAAAGCTAAGTGCATATTTTATTAAATATATATTATATTTTTACAAAGTGTACTATATCGGTTTAATAATGTTTACATATTATTTAAAAATATTTAAAATCAAAGAAACTTGATCTAATAGAGTTCTACAAACTTGTTTAAAAAAATTGGCTTCTATAACAATTTCTATACCTGTTGTTAGCATATAAACTTTTGTGTTTATTTTCTAGTATCTATTAATTATTATGGACTAAAATGGATTAATTTTCTTTGATTTGTGTATTACAAAACCTTTTTAAAAATTCAAATAAAAAATGAAAGCTATAAAAATGTACAGAAATGAAACATAAAATAAACAACAAAACAATTATTTCCAAACTGAGAGGCAATCCTTTCTTCAAAAACGACTTACCGAGAAGACCTTCTCTGACAAACTTAACAATTTATAAATTTAACTGTTTTTTATAAACTTAATGCAGATTCCATTTAGCTTAAATAAATATATCGTCATAGTGTATAGAATATATTTATTAAAGTAATATAATAATAATTTGTTACCGGGCTAATTGGTCAAATTTTAATATAAATAAAAAGACACTAATTTATTATTTATATTAAAAATCGTTTATACTTTATTTCCGATATTTCGACTATCTTCGATAGTCATCTTCAGGGAAAACTACACAAAATATAGGATGTTCACATTTTTATAGCGGATTATAAAGAAAAATCATACAATAAATACAATAATAATGATGACAACAAGAGAAAAAACAACAATAAAAATACAAAAGAAAAATTAAAATTATAAAAAAAATTTATAAAAAAAAACAAAAAAAGCTTTACAAACATCCTGTGTCATTTGTTTATAATATTCCTATAAGCCTGAGCACAGTTGTCCGTATCAGTTTTATAATTAAGTCTTATATTATTGGGCACTTGAAGTATTGAGAGCATTTCTAGAAAGTACCTCTTATTATGGTTCCTTTCTTCATATAAAATTTTTGCCTTATCAAAATCAGGTTCATGTTTATGCTCCATACAATGCACAGCCAATGCTGTATTGGCTTCAGCACCACTTTTATTTTTTAAACTATGTTTATGTCCAGCCATCCTTGTCCTAAGCTTATTTTTAGTCGTACCTATATATATTTTGTTACATACATTGTACCCGTCACCTTTACAATTCAGCTGGTACACTACATTAGATTTGTCTTTATTATTAATTTTAGTTTTCGTATTGCTATATAATTTAGCTATTGTGTTTGTTGCCTTATGAGTAATTTTATAACGTTCCTTGTCATATATACTAGAATTCATTATTTGGTTTGACAATTTCGGAACATAATCAATGGATTTATATATTTTTTTGTCATTATTATTGTTAGGTTGGAGCTTTTTAAAGGTCTTATTAAGCATCATATTAATAATCCTTACGGGGAAGTCATTCTTTATTAAAATATCACGCACTATGTTCTTTTGTTCATTATGGAAAATTTTGTCACTCAGTACTAGAACTCTTCTAATAAAATTGGATGCTGTATTTAAAATCACGTGTTTAGGATGATTGGAATTATAGTTAATTAATCTTCCTGACGCTGAAGACTTTTTATACCATTGAAAGTGAATTTGGTTATTATGTCTAATTAATTCAACATCTAAATAAGGAAGCCTGTTATTCTTTTCTTCCTCTATGGTGAATTTTAAATTTGTGTGAAAAGAATTCAAAATTTGAAGTATTTGAGTTATTTTATTTCTGCGTATTATCGCGTAGATATCATCTACATACTTCGTTAATAATCTTGGTTTATATTCCTGGTCATCCACACACTTTTCCAATAATTCTTCCATCACGATATCTGCTATAATGGGTGATAACGGTGAGCCTATTGGCATGCCTTTACGTTGTTTATAAATTAGCCCGGTAACAAATTATTATAATAATAATTTTTGGTCACAAATATAAGTATTTAATATTTATAAAAAAACGGAGGGCACGCCGTAAATAAAAATTAAAGTAATATACTTATATCATAATATGTGTTATCTCAAAACAAATATGAAAAATGTACATTCACAACAAATTTAATTCCTTAAAACGTCGACTGTCGTGGTACTTTTCATTACTCCTGATAAAGAACCCAATTTAATTTTTTCTTTGAGTTTAATTTTTTATAATTAAATTTTATGTTTATTTATTAATGCATTTCTCGGACACTATTCATATTTTTACTCACACATTTTAAATTTGATCGAAGCAAGATATTTCATAATTGACGTCCTAATCAAGAATGTATGCTATGAGTAGTTTTGACATATTTTTTATTTGAGTGAATTTGTTTCAGTAGATTGTTGTCATTTTTTGCAATATTGTAAAAATCTTCACAAGAATTTGTCAAATTATATTTGACACATAAAATGGTTTCCAAAGTTTCAACAATTATTTCTGATTTTTCTAATTTCCACATTTGATTCACTGTAGGAAAAACGCGTCCAGTCGCAGCGTTAGTCCCAGGTAAAGTTAGCTTCCAGGTAGCTTGCTAGCACGCAGTACGTATCTTGTATTTATCTGAGAGATAAATACAATGTAACTGGGTAGCGAAAGCAATATGTTAGTCGTCGTAACCCGTAGGATTACTAGAACGCAAAACAATGATTTTAGCTTCTTTTTCAATTTCGTGTATATTCTGTAGGGAAAGGGATCAACACCCCCTTTATATAATTTGCATAATGGACGGGCTATACTCCTATACTGCGCAGTCAATCTCCGGACCAACAAATCCTGTCTCCATTATATTTCACACAAGATCATGAGTCCACATAACCTTGTATCCACTGATTCACCTTATTGATATATTTGGTTCGAGTTATTAGGATGGTAGACTTCGCTTTATCCGTCTGAACAATTAGAAGTCAGCATCTTATGGTAAGGGGTTTGATCCTGGTGCTTTACCATTACATCTGTAAATTGTGCGTAATATTGTTCCATCTCGGTCCTGCAATATATCCCCACGTCCACATGATTCTCCACATATGCTTCGGTATACATATTCGTAGCTACCATACACTCTTGTATGTTTGGTGGTTTCAACGGGCAATATTTAGGCTCAAAACTTAATAATATTTCCAATTTTGGGGCAATTTTCTTTCACTCATATTTACACAGCCCCGTATACAGCCTGAGGTATTTCGTGCTATCTGGGTTCCAAAAGTATTGTTTCCTTTGTTTCCAGATTGAGATTTAGAGACGCCGACTTTATCATCCGCAACCTGAGTTCAGTCGTTTTAGCTTTATCGCTTGTAGTTTGGGTTTTTGCTGGACTTTCAGCTACAACCTCTCCTCGCATAAATTCGTCTTACGCTACATCTTTATCAACTTCTCACTGAAAATTCTTTCCATGTTACATGTCTGTGAATATACATGTCTAAGTTTTTTTGGACCGTTAGACAATTATATTACAGAATCAAAATATATATTTTGACGGCTCATCTTTATTTTTTCCTTCTTCCTTTAAGTTTATAATTGAGTCATAGCACGGTTCCGGTCTACCTTCGCACTTGTTGTTGATGCCTTTAAAATTGTTTCCTTTGTTATATGGTTTCTTTTTGATGTTATTTTTCCACCGACATTAAGAGGTATTATAAATTATTAAACCGATACTAATTATCCATACACTGTTTTCTGTGGTAAAGTGCGTTTTTGCATATATGTAAGAACCAGGGACCGTAACAGTTATCATAAAAAAAATAAAAATCATCTTATAACTGTTATCATTTGCATTAAAAAAATAACTGTTATCATAAAACTCAAAAAATAATAATTAAATTTGATTTTTATTATATTCTTCAAAAATAATTATTATTATATGTCTTTTATTTTTTCGCGCAGAAATTACTCTTAAAATTTGCTTCTTATTTTAAAACTCACAAATAACTGGTATACTTGCGTTATATAATATAAAAATCAAGAGTATCGCGCAAATTCTGCGCGATATTTTTAAAATGAAAATATAAAATACAATTTTCATACAAGGTAGTTGTTTTTGTAATTCCATAGAAAATGTTTTAAAATGTTGGTGCAGGTAAAGATTTAGTTCAGTTTTTTGTTTTTGTATTTTGGATTCAAATTTTGTATTTATATTTGTATTTTGTAGGAGAACAAATATGTATGCAAAATACAAAAACAAAAAAAACTGAACTAAATCTTTACCTGCACCAACCTTTTCAAACATTTTCTATGGAATTGCAAAAACTACCTTGTATGAAAATTGCATTTTATATTTTCATTTTAAAAATATCGCGCAGAATTTGCGCGATACTCTTGCTTTTTATATTATATAACGCAAGTATACCAGTTATTTGTGCGTTTTAAAATAAGAAGCAAATTTTAAGAGTTATTGCTGCGCGAAAAAAATAAAAGGCATATAATAATTATTATT